GATCTTTGAGGACAGATTGTCAAAGTCTGCCCACTTTCTTTCAGTCAGGGTGAGCACGGGTTTGTGAAACTTTCACTGTCACCGGTGTTGTTCAGGAACTTGGAGCGAGGAAACTGAGCCTGCGATTCATTGGGCAATACCAGTTACGTGGTAGAGTAGGATCTGTTTCCTACCAGTTTGCCTTGTCTCTAAATTTGACCAACACCCACGACGTGTTTTACGTGTCTCAACTTCCCAAGTTTGTAGCGGATCCTTCGCACGTGGTACAACCAGATGTTGTGGAGGTTCGGGAGAACTTGAAAACTCCCGTCGGACCACTCAAATTTCTCGATCGTGGCGAGAAGCAGCTGAGGAGCGAGATCATTTCGATGGTCAGAGTACGATGAACGGGAAAAATTCCTGAATGGTAATTCTGGAAGCGAGAGGACGAGCTTCTCCATCAGTATCCCGCGCTTCGGGACATGTATGTTTTCTGATTTTGAGGACAAAATCCTAAAAAGGTGGGGTGAATGTAAGAACCCGCACCGTTAATTAAGGAAGTTAATTAATTAATTATGTGAAATTAGGAAATGATTCCATAATTGACCCTAATAATTATTATGAGGCTCTAATAATTATAGTAAGTGATTAAGAATGCTGAAAGTCGCTTTTCGGAAGAAAAGTGCAGATACCGGTTCTGCTAGTCAGTATAAATGCGTACCGAAAAAGTATCCCGGAAAATTATTATAACTGCATGATAATTACTAGAATGATATATAGGACTTGTAAAACGAGTTTCAAGTCAAAATAATGAGAACTGGTGCCAGAAACTGATACTGGCTATGAAAAGCGCGTACCGGAAAGGTGCTCCGAAAAATAAAATAAAAATATGATAAATCCTAGAAAAATGAGTAGTTTCAGAATCCTAATTTTGGCATTAAAATCCTAAGCGTAGCAATTAAAGTTAATACTGTGTGTTTACCCTTTAAGTGGCTATAAATAGAGATTGGCACAAAGACATAGGTTAATTCCTTTGGTCCTCTACGTGGTGGCTGGTCAGCAGCTGGTGCTCCTCCATTTCTTCTCTGTTTTGTTAGCTTTTCTTCACCTTAACCCTTCAAGACACCTCTTTTATGTGAGATTAGTCACCTCTAGCCTTGTATACCTTGTACGGTTGGCTTGTGAGTGAGTGGGGTGTTGCTTTCTGATAGTTTTAGCTCTGTGTGGGGGTTTCTAGTGCTGAGTTTGAGAGTTTGGGGTGAGGGTCATCTTGTTCTTGGCTTGAAAGGCTTCAAGAAGCCATTTTGATGATGAAAGGTCAAAGCTTGTTGTTGATTTTCGTAGTCTTGGTGGGTCATAACCTATGTGTTGTGTAGATGACCCCTTGTGTGCCGCATTTTCGGAGTCGTGGTGCATTAGAGGTATACTTGATCATAACTCTTGTCATTTTGATGATTTAAGCTTGTTTAAGCAATGAAAAATCGTAACTTGAACCATTTGATAAAATGAATGTGTTTCTGGGTTCATAGCATGTTAATAAGCATCTGTTTAAGTAGTTCTTGGACTCCAGATCGAGTTTGGATCATTGGAGGTTGATTTTACCTTTAAAACTCAGTTTTTTACATTCTGTCGAAGAAGTATTTGAATACTTTTCGGGCAGTATTCGAATACTTTTCTGGGAAAATGCAGTAATCGAATACTTCGCGAGACAGCAGCAACCTAGTTTAGTAAAAGTGCGATATCTTGAGAGGTTTGGACCTATGTGAAGCTAACACATAGGGCTACAACCCTGTAAATTTTCAGATCCATTGGATAAGTGGATTTCTCTCGGTGTATGTTTGATGTCGAGACCCTATTGCTGGAAATTCAGCTTGTTGTAGGAACTTTGCAAAAATCTTAACCGAAGTTATACAACTCCGATTGAGTCATAAAATATGTCGTTGGAAGCTTGAGATGTCTAGTTTAACATAGTAAAATCTTAGAGTATTTAGTATATATATGCATTGGTAGTCGAATACTCCTTGTAGGAGTATTGGAATACTTTTCTGGGAAGAAAAGTATTCGGATACCTTTGAAGAAGTATTCGAATACTGGAAAGTATTCGAATACAATGGGGTTTGGTATTCAAATACTGAGGTATTCGGATACTGGGGGAAAAAGTATTCGGATACTTGGTAGTATTCGAATACTTAAATGAAAGTAATCGAATACTTTTTGGAGAGCTGGAGTATTCGAATACTACTCGTGGAGTATTCGAATACCTCATGCAGAAAAAAGCATGTAAGGAGTTAAAATGAGTAAGAAAGACTTAATCACTTAGTGTAGTCCGTGCTATGATTATTGATGATTAATTATGGTATGGGCAGATTGTGATTGTGCTGTTTGTGGGCCTTGAGCTTGTGTGAACTCTTGGTTTGGATAGCTAGTTTACAAGGTAAGCTTTCGTGTCCTCGGTTTAGCCATTGTTGGTTCCACCATGTCCCATGGGGGATGGTTATATACATGATGTGTTTTTATTGAAATGCTATGGAGCTGTTAAGTGCAATTGTTGTATGATATTTATGTGGTGTTTACTTAAAGGGAAGCCATGGGGTGGTCCTTTAGGGGTGGGTACAGCATGTGCTGATATAGCATGGGCTGGTATTGTGTAGGTAATAGACGTATTCCTGCACTTCTCTGATCAGTAGAATAGTTATAACCCACATGACATGATTATCTGCTGCATTGCACTATTTTGGAAATTATATTGAATTAATGCTTTTAGAACTTATATTGCACATGTAAGGGAGCTTGGGGTGGAGAATCCTTGAGGACCCCTTATCTTACTGAGATTTCTGGTTTAGAGATCTCACCCCACGTTTGGGGAATGCTTATTTCTGGTTCAGGTAATGTTGGGGTTGAGACCTCAGGCGGCAGGAGGCCAGAACTGAGTTAGATATTGCTGTTATTATATGCTGACTTATTGGATGCTGGTTATGCATGTTGCTTTTATGCTTTTAGCTTCATCATGACTTTGGATTATCTCTTTGAGACACTGTGTTTTGGTGAGCATGAGGATTGTCCATGCCACATAGACTTGTTTATGTCTTGCTTTATTTGGAGTTGTAATAATGTATCAGGATTATTGTCCGGGCTACGAGTGGTAGATCCGTGATGTTAGATATTCACTCTATTTATATATTGAGGTATTTCAGTTAGATGTCTATTGCAATTTACATACAGGCGATGATTTTGTGAAATTGATTAAGTAATCAACTTGGCTAAGTATAATGACGTCATAATTGAAAAGAAAAAAATATTCCGCATTTTTAATTAAGCGCAGCTTAATACGATGTAATGTTAACATACCGGGTATACACGGGGTGTTACAGAGGTAGTGTCTTCTGAGTTTACAACCATTGTTTGGTTGAGGAGTGGGCTGAGTTCTTGGTCTTGAGTAGTTGAAGCCTTGTTCTTGAGTAGTGGAAGCTCCAAGTAGCTTTCTTGTGAAAGAGGGAACCTTGTTGAGCATTATTTTCGTTTCCTTGGGAAGTCAGCACCATAGAGCTGAGGTGTGAGCTCCTTGAGCACCCATACCTACTGCCTTGAAGCTTGGGTAAGTATTACCACCTTTGATCATGAGTTTTGTTGAGTAAAAGAGATGTCTTGGCATGTTTAATAAGTTAAACAAATGTGTAATCTGAGTATGAACCTGTATATGCTTAAAAATGGATCCTTGGCGTGTTTAAGTGTTAAAAGTTGAACCTTTGAAGGATATCTTCACGAAATGCAGAAACTGCATTCTGTCGTGAAATATCCGCATATCAATATCCGGATATGGGATCTGTGGATATCTGAATATGGATATCCGGATATTGATATCTGGATATGCATATCCGGATATTGTTATCCGAATATGTCCCCAACAAATATCTGGATATTCTGGATATGCACTTCTGACGAGATTGCGTGTATTAGGTTTCTGGGATGCTGTTTGATTGATTTATTGGCTATAGCCAAGCAATTAGGGAAGTATCTTGGATTGGACTCTGGAGGAAGGGGAGTAGCTTGAGCGTACTGTCAATGAATAGTTTTTTGAAACTGATGCACCTAGCCTTTAGTGATAATTTTCTCAATTTTAGTTTCTTTGGAAAACATAATATAGTAATGTGTTAGACTTTAGGCATGTAAATGGCGCATTTAATGGCAAATATCACAAAGACTGTTTTTGTAATTAAAAGTTTATGGTGAGGGTAAACATTACCAAAAAAGAGGATAATCTTAATCTCAAAAGGGTGTGAAAAACCTCTAAAAATTGAATAATTAAAAAATTGCAATTGAACTAGTAAATACGGCTTGTAACCAAGGATTAACAAATTAAACTATCGTTGCTAACATGAATATTTTATGAAAATATTTATTTTTTATTATATCACAATCAAATAAAAACTATTGATAGACTGCATTTGTAGTTAAAAAAAATGATTTGTTATTTTTTTTGACTATTATGAGTTTGGGAAATTCTTGATTCCCACACTATCAAGTAAGAGTGTGTGTGGTCCCTAACTATTTAAAACTTGAATTTTAAACTGGCCTGGCCTGTTATTATGCTTCTGTCAATTTCATCTTTCTTTTCAGTCTTGAACTGACAGTGAATTCCTGTTAATTTATCTCCACTTAAGGTTACTTTTAGCGAACCAGAAGCTGCCATGAGCGCTTGCGTGGATGCTGCTCCTGTAATTGATGGTAGGAGAGCTAACTGCAACCTTGCTTCTTTGGGTGTCCAGAGATCTAAGCCTTCAACACCAAAGCCCCTGGATTGCCCAATTCCGTTTACTGATTTTTTGGATTAATTTTTTTTCACTAACTGACATTTATCCTCTATATATGTTCTTAATTATACATATCAAGCTCGGACTCATCCTTATTATATTTTTTTTACTGAAACAAGCAATATTTTCTTACCAATTGTCTCCATTTTTTCGGTGTTGGTGATGAATATGTGTATGTAGTTTTTTTTTTGTATGCTGATGATGTATTGAATGAAAAAGGTTGCAAGTAAAACAAATGACTCTGCTAGTGATGGAACAACAACTGCTTCTGTTCTTGCTCGAGAAATAATTAAGCTTGGACTTCTTAGTGTGACTTCTGGTGCTAATCCTGTGTCAATCAAAAGAGGGATCGATAAAACTGTTCACGGTTTGGTAGAGGGCTAGGCCTGTTAAGAAATGATGAGTTTTTTTGGTGTACTGTAACAGCTGTTGCTACTATTTCTGCTGGAAATGATGAGTTTATTGGAAAAATGATTGCTGAGGCAATTGATAAGGTTGGACCTGATGGTGTTTTATCCATTAAGTCTTCGTCGTCGTTTGAGATAACAGTTGAAGTTGAAGAAGGAATGGAGGTATGACTTCTCTGTTGGGTCTGCTAATTTATTTTTTTATTTTTCTCTTCAGAATTGTGATAATGTAGAGAAAAAAATGTAGTTTTTTATTATAATAATATAGCCTTGTTGTGTTGATATTTCTTCTTGTAACCTGTAGATTGACAGAGGGTACATCTCCCCTCAATTTGTTACGAACTCGGAGAAGTCGATTGTTGAATTTGAGAATGCAAGAGTCTTGGTTACTGATCAGAAGATTTCAGCTATAAAAGATATAATTCCTCTGTTGGTGTAATGATATATATTTGCAGGAGGAGGAGGGAGGGAGGAACTTTAGGATATGGAGGGGGAGTGGGATCAGCCACATTGCCACACGCAGTTAATAATAATAAGGTGGGTTGTTACTTGTGAGAGTTTAATTAATTTAAGTTTAACACTCCTTTTTTTCCTTTTACCACCATTACTATATCTTTCATCATAAATTGGAGACTCCTCCTACATATAGTAGAAACGATACAAACTCGATTGAGATTTTCTTTGAGAATCAGAAGCTAAGAAATTAAGATGAATGCATTGGCTTCAGTGTGCAGTAGTGGGTGTGAGTCTGGTTGGACTCTATACCTTGAGCAACATTTTGCAAATTTCTCAATTTTTAATAAAATTGTGTGCATAATCCGTTTTCCAATATTAGTGGAGCTGGACCCTATTAGGTTGAAGAGCATTCCGTTGGTCGTCCATTTTGAATTTCTGTTTAAGTTTTGTCAAACTTGACCGGCTTTTGTTTTCTTATGGTGTTTTACCTGAAACATAGATCAAAGCACAGTCTGGCAGCATTTGTTGCATGCTTGATGCCAATGATGCTTGGAGTTTGCTTTCTTTGTCCTTCAATGGACTGCCTCTGGCATAAATATCACTAGCGTCCTAAATGCCACGAAAAGGTACTGTCGTACTAGTTATTCCATTGGACTGTCTCTGGCATGAATATCACTGATATAAATAAATGTCTAATTGCAACTTAATGTCATTGCTGTTATGTTCATGTGTGTGTAGGTTGCTGATTTTGAGAAGCTGAATATGACAGAAATTAAACCATGACATGATAATTAGGCTATATTGGAATTAAACCATGACATGACATGTGTGTGTAGGCATAAATAGAAATTCCAACTAAATCAACTTGCCCTAGTTGATATTTCTGGTTCCCCCCCAACCCACCCCCAAAAAAAAGAAGAAAAAAGAAGAAGAAAAAAAACAGCCTGAATCGAAATTGCTCAAGTACTGTGTATTTGAAAGTTGTCATGTTTTTGTTAATCATGAAGATTTTATTAATTTTAATTAATTTTCATAAAATTAATCAAAATTTCTCAATTTTGGATGTAAATATTATTAACTTTATGATTTTATTTAAGAGTTATAATTTTTAAAAAATAATTATAAAATAATAATAGTAATAATAATTAAGCGTGATTCTTTCAAGTCAACTATTTTATTATTATTTTCATCTAAACAAATACATGGATTTCAATTTAGGTAGGTCCGTAGGTGTACTATTTTGTCTTATTGTTATTACCCACCACTTTAATTTTGATATGAATTGTCACGACTTTCACTGTTGATTGTCCATTTATTAGCTCTTAATGGCCAATTATGAAGCTCTCGTTCTGAAAAAGTGTAATTTACTGTGACTATTTTTTAGGATATCGTTGGGTTTTGACTTCCTGTGCTTGATGGTTGTACTATTCCTTTGAATACTTGCAGGTTATAGAAAGCATTAACAAAGTGTGATGTAGACATTCGAAGAGAATTATTTAGTAGCATACTGGTAATGTATTTTAGTGTTGCCTTCTCTTTTGATTGCTGCGTATATATACTTTAGCCGGTTCCTATGTAGAGCTTAATTTAGTTTAGGTTGGACATGGAAAAAAAATATGGATACAGGGTAAGGCTGCATATATCTAAGCCATAAGAGTCTCATGCAGTGGGCCATCATTTTTTTTTTATGGAGAAAAGTATTATCATTTTGGTTTCCTAGTGTGGATTTTTCTTGCTTTTGAGGTTAGTGGGTATGTGATGGAGTTCCTATATATTACAACTGACAGAAGAATGGGGAGAAGAGTTGTTCGCTTTCGGTCTTAATTGCCTATTATGCAATATTGGAGTTGAAATATGGATTCTATGTGGTCATTGAAAGTTGAAATATTGATTTGGCATACTAGTTTTAGTAATACGCACTGTAATTTGTAATATAAATCACATGCACTTGAAAGGTGCATATTATGCGTTTATCCAACTTCATATAATAATATATAGCAAATGTACTATATATAATAACTATGCTTCTAATTATCCAACATCATATAATTTTTTAATGCATTTACTAAAAATGTCATTCATTTATTTTTAATGTAGGCAGCGGAGTTCAATCATCGTGATCAATCGTCTTCATATTCTGCAATTCATCAAGCATAATGAGTTGCATAGGTTTAAATTTTTGTATTTTTATTGGTACTTTGATTCCAGTTAGGTTTAATTTGCAAGATTACTCAGATGTAAACATTTGTGATATTATTGATACTTTAGTTCCATTTATGTTAAATTTGCAAAGTAGATTTACTTTGTTTTATCATGTATTTGGATCTATTAACTTTTAATGGTGAGAAATTTTTAATTCGTTATCACTATTTGTATTTATCTTGAATTACATTTAATTATGTATAAATTTAATGATTATAGATTCAGATGTTTAAGTGTTTGATCAATTAATATGTTTTTTGTAATGGTATAAATAATTATAAGATAAAACAACAGCAAATAATTTTCTAAAAAAAGCAGCAGCAGCAAATACATAAAACAGCAGCGATTATCCTAAATAACAGCATTTCAGATTCGTGGCGGTTCAAAACCGCCGCTGTTAATAATAAAGTTTTATTAAATTATTTTAAATTAACGTCGGTTATGCAAAAGTAAGGTCAGTTTTGTTTTTAACGTCGGTTATTCCGTCGGTTGGGTCAAACCGACTCTGAAATTTTTAACTTCGCCAATTTTTATGTCAGTTTTAAAAATGCCACAGAAAATTTTAGCGGCGGTTAACACCGCCGCTAAGATTAAAAAAAGCCGCCGCTAAAACACGTTTTTCCTGTAGTGAACCTTTAATTACATTAATAATATCCAAATAACAACTTTTAGTTTATGGAAATCTATTGAGTAATAACAAGAAATATTAAAATATTCTTTTGATATATTGATATATTTTATTTTTTCAGGTCAGCATCTCAACAGTTTAAGTTTGTCAATGAAGCTTACCTAAGAGATGAGTATATAAATGCAAAACAACATTCTAGGAAGGCAAAAAAAAAATTACAGATGGCTCGAGAGCTTAACTGTATGGCAACGACAATAATTTTAAATATTGTAACGTGTTAGCTGCTGTGGCAAGGGAAGGTGTTATGACAGGGGTTTAGTAAGCATGGGCGGATTTAGGGGGGCTAGGGTGGGCCACCGCACACCCTAAAATTTAAAAAAACTTTTTTTTAATATATATATATAAAATAAAATTTTAGCAATATTATTAAATTATTTGTTTTAAAAATTATATAATATAAAATTACTCTCCATGGCACCATATATCAGATATCACACTACACTCAATCTTTTTTTATTCCTATTGATATTTCACTATGGAAAAATTTGGAAACCCCCCCTCTCTTTTAACAAACCCTGATGGCCCCATCTGCATTCCCGTAGAAAAAATCTCTCTCTCTCTCTCAATTTTAATAAATCTTCTCCGCTCAGGCCTCTCACTATTTATTTTTTTATTTTTATTTTTTTTATGAAATTAACAATGCTGCTATTATTCGATTGTTTTGTTTCGAAACCGTTAATATCATCCCCATGTTTTGAATGTTTTGTTTCGACTCATTATCTTCCATTGAATAACATTTTTTTATACCAACGTTCGGTGCATTAATGTTTTTTAATGCTTTAATGTTTCATTGAGGATTACTTTCAAACTGAAAGAATAAATTGTGTTGGACAAATAAATTAAAAAAAAATCAAAACACGAATGAACCAATAAATTAAAAAAAAAATCAAAACTCAAGGTGAAATACAAAAGTGCATAACAACATATTTATTGGGGACTTGTAATATTTCTAATTTTCAAATGCTTCATTTACTAATCTGTTAGTTAATTTTTTTAGTCTGTATTTTCTTATTTTTTGAACTCTGAAATCTGAAAGTGTTTACTTTTCAATGTTGGTTAGCTTGCTGGAGTGTTGTTCTACAATATATCTTGATGATTATATTTGAATAATTTTATTGGATTCAACAGCTTGTCCAAGCATCATTTAGGTACAATGTATTTCCATATACATTTTTTTTAATTTATTTATTTATCTATAATTTATTTAAACATTTTTTGGATCTGTTTTTATTGTAGATGGATTTAACAATATAAAAACACGTAGAGTAAGAATCAAGTGAACTGATTTTAATTTCTGCAATAGATTTCTTTCAATTTTTTGCATATTAGGTCCGTATTGTATTTGAAGTACTTTTATTTATGAAGAGGTATTTTTATTTTTCACCCCCTCTCAATAAAATTCCTGCATCTGCCACTGTTAGTGAGCTGTCGTGGGAAATAAGTGTGTAAGAGAAAGAAGAGAGATTCATCGTAAAAATGAAAATAAATGTGTAATGATAATTTTAAATGTCAACAAAAAAGTGGTTGAGATTCACTAAAAAGAAGAGAGAGAAAGAAGATAAATGGATCGTATTCTCATGTTGTAGGAGATAAAATTATCTCGTACACGGACATAAAAATATATAAGGCCATGTGAAGAGAATAGGAAAAAAATAAAAATATTTATCCCACATACTTTTATGTATGTGTAAGACATAAAATTATCTCATGATAAACATTAATTTCAACATCATTTATGAAAACGGCGTTGTAATGCTTGGAATAACTAATTTAATGATTCTTATTGGCAATCGACATTATCACACGATTTAAAATTATTGTTAGTGTAGTTAAATATAGGTATTTTTGTCATAAAACTAATCAAAACAATAATGTGATTTAAAAGAAGGGAAAAATGTTTGTCCTTTTAAATGACACAATTTGTGTCATTTCACTCTCACAAAGAGGTGGAACCCACATCTTTATTTTTTTTTGTCTTCTCTCTCCTTTATGATCTATCTCTTTCTTTCACTTAAAATGATATAACTTTACCTCCCTTAAAAGAAAACTAGGATAAAGCATTTATCTGACTCTCCTTCTCCTGTGCCTCATTG